TTCAGAAGACGGAGCAAACCACTCGAAAGAGACTGGAGAAGACCAAACAACAAGAAGCAAACCGCTCGAAAAGAACTAGATTCTACTAGAGAATTTCAGAAGAAGGAGCAAACCACTCGAAAGAGACTAGAGAATTTCGAAAAACAAGGAGCAAACCGCTCGAAAGGAACTAGAGAATTTCAGAAGAAGGAGCAAGCCGCTGGAAACAGATTGGAGAATTTCAACAAACAAAGAGCAAACCGCTCGAAAGGAACTAGAGAATTTCAGAAGAAGGAGCAAACCGCTCGAAACTGACTAGAGAATTTCGGAACAAGGAGCAAACCGCTCGAAACAGACTAGAGAATTTCAACTAACAAGGAGCAAACCGCTCGAAAGAGACTAGAGAATTTCAAAAATCAAGGAGCAAACCGCTCGAAAGGAACTAGAGAATTTCAGAAAAGGAGCAAACCACTCGAAAGAGACTAGAGAATTTCAAAGAACAAGGAGCAAACCGCTCGAAAGGAACTAGAGATTTTCAGAAGAAGGAGCAAACCACCCGAAAGAGACTAGAGAAGACCAAAAAACGAGGAGAAAACCGCTCGAAACAGACTGGAGACTTTCAAAAAACAAGGAGCAACCGCTTGAAAGGAACTAGAGAATATTCAGAACAGGGTTTCGGGGCAGAATAGTTACCTAGGGCCGATGAGGGACACCGCTTATTAATTGCAGGGTTGTAAGTTTGTTTAGCTGAGCAGCTTCTTTGTTAAGCTTAAAGAATTTAAGCACAACAAGTACAACGAAAGCTTCTGCTGATACGAACAATGAAGTGAGGTGGGTTGTCGTTTTCAGCAGGGCATGAGGCCGGCCGAACAAAAGGCCGCGCCTTCTCAGGAGGGCAATACTCATGATTACCAACGACGACACGCCTTCCATGGTGCTGACAGAATGCCACCATGAAGGCTATTGATCGCGAGCGGTCGAGTTGCGAACAAGTTGACCGCTAACCATAAGTTTTGCAACCCACTGCGGTGAAGCAACACAGCAAGAAGGAAGTTGACCGTGAACCGCGGGATATCATTGTCGCGTCATGGGCAAACCCCAAGCTGCAATAAACTGTTCTACCCTCTACATCTTGGTATACATAGGCGCGAAGACAACGGGAAGAACATGAAATCTACTACAAAATGAAAGCTCAGGAACAACCGGCTTAGTGTATAGAGGCCTTTCCAGCTTTATGGAGCGTAGTACAGGGGTTTAGGGTGCAAAAGGGCTTCGGGGCCTACAGGGCTAGGGATCGGAAAGGAAGACATACTTGTTGGGTTTGGAACCCTGACCGCTCGATCCAGGACCCCCCCCAAAATGAGTCGCATTGAGGTGGATCTCGTCGGTGGGATCACCTGCGTGGCGTACGGCATTGTCATTCCCTGCTGTTTTGCCGTTCTCTTCGCCAAGCAGCATGTCATCATGCAGCCGCTTGGCCGAAGCTCTCTCAGCCGCGGAAGACCTTTTCAATATGTTCGGGGCCCCTAGTCGAAGCAGAAGAGGTGTGGTCTGCCATAGTCAGGCAGAGCAAGATCTTCTTCATCGCATGCGACGATGACAGTCAGGGAAAGGTGCATTTGCGCCTTGAGTTTTGCGAGAAGTCCGCCACTTTCCAGGAGATTCCAGCTCAAAATGTAGGCCCACCAGAAATACATGGAGGCGACTTCAAGTGAAGAAGACAGAACTGTAAACCGTCAAAACCTATGGTTGTGTGTTTCGTTTGTCTGATGCGGAGCAGCTTTGAAGGCTCCAACTCTAAATGACACGCCTTCGTGGTTTTGGTTGTGTTCAGGCGGTCCGATCTAGCGCTGTGGAACTTTAATGGCTTCGTTATTTCAGAGTAGCAGCAAAAACCAAAAAGAAGTTGGCAGATCTACAGCACGGATGCAGACAACATTGCGGCAGGAATCCAAAACGGCCAATCTGCTGGTGGCCGCTGCCGCGGCCCATGTAGCAGTCCACATTCGTGGTAATGCAGCCGTGGAGCTGCACAAAGATGAAGTGACTCTCGCTTATTGATATGTCATGGTTGATTTTCTTGTAAATGCCGGTGGCGGAAGTGAAGGGTAATCGACAAGAATGTAGGGTGCAAAAAAACCGCAGACCCAGGGGAGGACACGAGGGCTTCCACAAGCCAAACCCTGTTAAGAGGAGGGATTAAGAGGTTCTTGAAGAGGAAACAGGTAGCGTCGGATCGCTTTGACCGACGGGTCCTTTGTTGGCATTGCCTGACTCTGAGTCTTCTGCATATCGCGTGATTAAGTAGACGCGAGAAGAAGGGGTTTGCTGCGGTCTCCTTGTCAACTTGTCTTGCGGCGACAAGGGTAAGACCATGTCAGTCAAGCTGCTCTTGCACTCAGGATCGTGACAAGCTTGGACGGAGACAGCACCCAACACCACACAGTTTCAGTGACTTTGGCCTATTTTTCATGTTCACATGCCGGTACACAGATGCTTTCAATATCGTGAGACAGCGGCCGCCGGCACAGGCAGAGAGTCTCATCTTGCCGATGACGCAGAAGCACACAAATATACTGAACCGCAATGCTATGATGCGCATGCTCACCGAACGCATTCTTCTGGAAGAAGCGGAGTCGGACAGATGCTGGTTCTGCACAAAGCCTGTTTCTGTGTCCTGACTGCGCCTGCGGAGCTTTCCCGAATCCTGCGACCTTGCACTCAATGCTTGCTCGATTTGCGCAAACGCTCTCTCAGGAATCATGATGGGTGCGAAGCGGCTGCTGTGCAAATATGCTGCTTGGCGACTGTAAGGCATGCTGAGATTGGCGAGGACGTTCGGCACCTGCCACGGCAGGCTGTGGAACCAAGCTAATGCCCAGCCGGGCATCCGACACCCGCCCGCGAAAGACCTCTCCTTCCTCTCAAACGTGAAAAACCATGTCGGAGGTTTCTTCGGGGCCAACTATGCCCTGACTCACACGCTGAGGCCAGCTGCCGGAATGTGCGGATGGAGGTGCCTGACACTGGGACCGGGTGAAGCAGGGGTCAAGCCTATGGCCTGTCTGTTGCAACCTCCAAGTCCACTGCAAAGCTGTAAGCTCATCCCACAGAAACAGCAAAAATGATGATGCTGCTGATCATCATCAACATCATGCTCATGTTGATGCTGGTGACGATGATGATGTTGATGATGGTGATGGTGGTGATGATAATGATACCATGACAGCCTTGATCATGCTGATGCTCCAGGTGATGAAGTACGACGGTGCCTCGACCCAAGACAGCAGAATCATAGGGTATTGACTTCGCGATGTCCGGTACACCCAGTGTGACAGCTCCCTTCTCGAACCTGTGATGATGCTTGTGATCACAGTACTTGCCATGTGAAGTCCTGGCGCATCCGATGTGGATAGCACCCACACGCTGGAACCCCCCAAAGGGCGACAGGGTTCCTGTGCATGGGGCCTGGTGCAGACAGCTTGGACCTTACATTCCACTTACCACAGCATTTGTCTTCGCCCCAGCCGGTGTCTTCGCACTGGTGATACTAAGCGCGGCTGTCATTTCAGGTGCATTCCTCAAGTAAGGGATATTGGGAAGCCTGAGCACGAAAGCCCCGTGAACGCTCTGAGACGCAAAACCCTGGGCAAGCCTGGAAAGGGGTTCCCTTGCAGGTGGCCCTGAAGCTTGCATCCATGGCCTTGGTCTCTGCCCTCTGGACTTCACAGTTAACTCGATAGCTGCTATATAAGGTAAGGAGGGAGGGAGGGAGGGAGAGAGAGAGAGAGAGAGAGCGAGAGAGAGGGAGAGAGAGGGAAAGAGAGGGAGAGGACTAGGGGAAAGCCCTCGAACCGTCTGATGCACCTCCCACGACTCTTGCTCGTTTTGCTGCTCCTTGTCTTCCAGCGATGAGACGTCAAGTAAAACCTAAGATGGGGCAAGGTTGCGTTTGACTGTTGTTGGAGTCGACTGTGACGGATACTGTTGCTGTGGGTGTGGAGCTTGTTGTGCTTGGTTTGGTGAGGGCGGCGATGATGGTGACGAGATTATGAGATGATGTCTGTCGCGCTGCTGCTCAAGGGTCCCCGTGTTGAATTTCGAGTTGCGAGCCTCTCACTGGAGCTTCCGTCGTCCACGTTTCTCGATCCGTAGCCTCTCTCGAAGCCCAATGACATCAGCCTCAGGCTTTAGCTTTAGGGTTTGGTGGTGTCAGGGTTCTTCATTGCCTTATAGAAACCCTTATTATTTTGTTTGAAGGGCCCTTTTAAAGGGACCCTAAAACCCTATAGAACCCTGACAGCTGGCAGTTACATTTGCGACACGCCAGCCGGAGAGGTCGTCACTGCGAGGGACGGCCCGTGGCTCTCCGTGGCCATCTGCTTGGCCAGGACCTTAGCCTTATTGAAGCCCGAAACCAATAATTACCAACACCATTTTGGGGGTTCCTCATTATAAGTATGGTATAATGGGCCCCAAGGCCCCTGAGACACCGAAGAGCGCCGGTAGCCCCAAAATCAATCAAGAAGGCCCTAAACAGCCAATAAACACCGTCAGCAATCTGGTAACATCCCCCCTGAGGCCATGGCTCTGGTCATCGGCGTCGCCCGGCCCTACGCAAAGCCCCAGGCGGAAACAGAAACAGAACAGTGGGTTGCCTCATAGAGGGTTTCGGTTCCAAAGCCACAATCATATATTGAGGGGTTACCTTCAAAAAGAACTGCTGACTGCAACTGTTCGTAGTTCAGACTGTTTGTCTTTGTGTAGGGGATGGTGACGATGCCGACCTATGACGAAGATGATTCCATTCAGGACTGATGATGATGGTGCTGATGCCGCTTCCTGTCCTATACCTGACTCGTTCATACGATGAATGGGTACTATTCAGACGGTTGTCATGCGTCCCATTCGCACGGTGGATGTTTTGGAGACCATTAGTATTGCCCCAAAGATTGCAGCAGAAGTGCACATGCTCGGCCTTGAAGACTGCAAGCGAAAAGTAGACGAATATGTCAGCTAGTCTCCAGGGCTGGGTGATCTTCAATCCGGAACCTCAAGATGAATTAGGTGCACAGCGCGTCGTAGCAGGTGAATGCGCTGCAGAGCTTCTCGTTTTCATGCGGCTCGGATGAACCGGGGAGCTCTGCAAAGGTAAGGTAAAGGCCCGAGTCCATGCATGTGAAATATTATCGCGCCTGCCGCCTGCCCCCTGAAGCATCACATTTGCAGCTGAAACGGGTCTAGAGTGTTGTAGAGACTTTGAGAGGCCTACTGGAGATAGGAGCAAGTTGCTGGAAACGCATGCAGAACTTGAGACAAGCCCGAACCAGGCGCAAGAGCAAAGGCCCAAATGATTGAAACTGCAGCAAAAAAAAGCCCCAAACTCTGTTCGTTGTGTCCATGTGCATCTCCTGGGCGTTCACTTAAAGGCGTCATTTTGGATCCTCACTTTGCACGTAAAAAAACAAAGCGCAGCTGGGCAGAAGGCCGGCCTCGGGAGTGCGAAGTTGGTTGGGCTTAGGGTCTTAGATTGGGAGTTTCCGAGGATAAGGGGGTACCTTCTTTGGGGTCCTTTTCAAAAAAGGATCCTACTACTTAGGGTACTGTGTTAGGGTCCCCTATTTTCGGAAACCCCCAGATGGCTTCCAGGAGTTTAGGGCCCTAGGGTTTAAGGCAGACCGGATGCAAAAAGGAACGAGGGTTCTTCAAGTCATCAGGTACCTCGGCATTATCCCGGCACACTTCTCAACATCCTTGCGACTTCAAACAATTAAATAATGAACAAAAGCCAGTGAGCGCAAGGACTCACAATTCCTGATGTAAGAAGCCTAACTTTAAAAACCCACACGGTAAACATAAATAAAGGCACAAGTAAATCCTAAAAACTTAGATCCACAATTATATCTGAAGCCCAGAACCCCCAACCCCCCCCCCCCCCCCCTGTGTCCTCACCCCCTCATGTCTTCTTCAGCTCTTCCTCGCACGGAACCATCTAGGCTTGTCGGTGGCCGCCCTGGGCTTCTCGCACCGCTTCGTCCAAGTCGCACGCCTGGCGCTGGTCGCACCGCTGCTGCTGGCGGCCTCTGGGGGGGAGTTCGGGGTTTTTTTGAGGAGCCCGGGTACCTACAACGGTAGGCTACTGGGTGATGGGTACCACGAGCTATGTATTCAATCAACACAAACCCCCACTATGTAGACTTCCGGTGGGACTTGGGAGTTTCTCGGCTTTATCGGATCTTAGGGCTTGGGGGTTTGGTGGCCACTTTTGGAATCTGGGGCTTGGTTCGGGCAGTCTGGAGCCTGGAGCTGTTCAAACCTAGTGCACGATTCCAGAAGGCTTGGCGGAAGTCTCTGCAACGGGCGCCATGCGTGCCGCTTAGAAATGCCTACAAACATAGACGGATGTCTTGCGGGGTAACGTGCGAACTTTGTGTGCGCAAGACTGGTATATAATGCCACCTCAAGTCTGACTAGATCCACATTGAACGGACGAGCATTGCACAGCTCACGGTTTAACAGCTTAGACTCAGACGCACGAGCAACCCGACAATCACACCTCACAGCCGACGGTATTATAGTGGCCTTAATTCCCTATGCCCTTTTCGATGTACCCCCAAAACCCTATTCTAAATATTAAGGCCCCTCTATTACCCAAGTCTCGGCCCTTGCCTCGTGTGTGCGCGCGGTATATCTCGTGACTCGGGAGATGTTGGGTTGTTTGGGAGTTAAGCCCTTGAAGTTCAGCAAGATCACGGACGGACGAGTTTTGCTGTCTCCTGCCCTTTGAGTGGCTAGCAACCTTCGCAGGTTCGAGCCAAAATCGAGCGTCATGTAGAGGTAGGACATGGGGCATACAACTCCGACCCGGAACCTAGGGACTGGGAAGGAATCCGAAGTGCGAGGTGGTTGTGCAGCTCCTGCGCCCGGACTCTGCCCAGGGCCTGGCCTTGCGTCTTCAGGAGGCCAGGGCCTAGGAATTCACAGATGCTGCTTCCGCCCAAAGACGGGTTTGGAACCCCGAAACCTGGCTTGTGCACTCTTGCCAGGAGCTGAAAGACAAGATCCCGGAAATGCAGAAGGGCGAAGTGGTTGAAGTGAACGCAGAGCAGCTGAGGCTGTTGTGACATAGGACTGGCTTTCCGATCAATCGCAGAACCTGTTGCAAAAAGGCTCTGGCAGTGTGCAGCAACGGGCAACGGTGCCAGTTTGTCTTTTGAAGCGCTTGGCGGAGTACACATGACGAAGAGATGCGTTCATCGTAGTTTCAATCAGTCGCAACCAGGGGTCAAACTGCCAGCAGCACCAACAATGAGACTGCATGGCCGCACACTAGTATTTTTTCTGTTAGGGGTTAGATCGAGACCTCCGCTCAAGAGCATGTATCAGCGCATGAATGCAGCCCAACAAATACGGGCTGCTAAGAGTCCGCTCGGAGCATCCGCAGCGGGCAACAAGAGTTGAAAATGCATTTTGGGTGCCACTACCGCGAGCGTTTTTCATTTGAAACCGCATTCACAGGCACAGATGAAGACCTGAGTTGGGTGAGGACTGGGCGCAATGCAAAATGCCACGCCGAAATCCTCGCCTCCGTCTTGCCGATAAAGGGAGAAGCCGCAGAGACTGGCCAAACATATGATGTCAGCTTCTTGGGCACCGTGCCCGGGGCAAGCCGCTACTTGGATTCAACGTGTACAAAGACCTTGCTCGCGAGTGCATGTCTGTCTCTCACTCTCTCTCACTCTCTCTCTCTCTCTCTCTCTCTCTATGGATGGGTAGGTGAGTGTGTCAGAACTGTGAAGCTAACAGGCTTCAACAATGCTCAACACAGCGTAAGGCCGAATCACAAGCATGTTTGGAATTACCGTCCATGTACATGTATTTTGGGATACACGAATAGAATCTATCTATATGTATATATATATATACTTAGAAACCTGTAGGTCACTGTAGGTAGCATTAGTAGCATGTATGATCCAGGTTCGGCCGTCCCCCCCCC